CCCCCCCCCGCCTCTCCAGTAGGGAGGCGGGCAGCCATTATGACCTTCTCCTAGATTAAATCAGGCGCAACAGCTGCAACCCACCCGAAGGAAAATGTTCTCACACTGCGGGAATGCGTCAAAATCTGCCCGAAATGTTAGTAGCAGAACCGAACGAACTGTTTCAAACGGAGACTCGTGCAGAGACTCCGTGTTTGGTCGATTTAGCGAACGGAGCAGGACAGATATCTCAATGGATTCTCCAGTGCGCCTTCTATCAGCCGCAAGCTACGGTAGCATCTAGATGGTAGCAGATACTGTCAGCAAGTTTTGTCACTTCATGCCCTATCTCAGTTTCGTTACAGCAGAGAGAGGGGCCCAACTCTTCATTAGTTTTGCGTCGAATCGTCATACCTTTTCGAGGAATATGGTCTCTGACAAGGGTCCCAAGTTCGTTAGCACTCTCCAGTCCGAATTTATGAAACCCCTTAACATGGACCCGAACCGGGTCAACGCAAGCCAACAGGATGCAGAGGGTCCAACTGAATGCACCAACGCGCACAGATTCAGTATTTGCGACCACAGATCCAGTTGCATTCTCAAGATGGTTTTATTTCCTACTTTGTACGGAATAGGTTTACAGTACAACGGCGCACCCTTCTTCCTGTTGATCCCATGCATTCCTACTCCACAGCAAGACGACGCTAGTTGACGGCGAGTTAGAACTGGCCGTCATAAACCAGCCCCGTATGCCCCAAGCCTTAGGCTTCGCCACCCATCTCGACGCAGCACGGAAATGTACGAGAAAAGCAGGAGAGCTCTAGGTCGAGGACTATGACAAAAACCATTAAGCAACTACTTTCAGCCTAGGTGACTTGGCTTTGCCAAATTCTCATACCCTCCGAAGCTCGGAGGAACGCAAAGAGCCCGAGATGTACGCCGTACGCTGTATGACATTTTGCTGTTCTTTCTCGTGCAAGTGCACTTGCCTACATCATCGATTTATGTTCAACTTGGGCATTTTATCGTATTATTATTGTTGATTCTCTAGAACGGTGCAGGTAATGATCAAAGTGCATTTTACCGGCAACACTATCAGGGTGGGATATCACGACTGGAGGTGAGATATTAATCATTCGTAAAACGATTCGTAGAGGCAAGCTAAAGGCAGAATGTTACTCCAAATGGGCAGGAACTCGGCAAACTAAATGTCTTTTGATGATCGCTTGCGCTAACCTATTTATCGCGGATACCTCGGATATCTGCAAGTCCTATATTCGCATGCAACTCCTGCAGGTATTTGCGTGAACACAGAAGCTTACGGTTTGGATTTGCCCAAGTATACGGTCATTCCTGCAGTTATACAACCCAGCAGGCCCAATAATTTCGCACTCTGTCTGCTCTCGCGTGTCATCTAGTCCTTTTGCTACTCTCTAGCACCCGTACTCTGTGTTCTTCAAACCCTGCGTACACCAGTTCCCCGTGAGTGGACACCATGGGACATCCGCCTAGTATCAACAAAGCGTATGATTCTCTCAAACAACCAATCAAAATGTGTTTTTGATAATCAAACAGAACAGAAAAAGAGTGGGGAACTCTACCACAGCAAGGAAAACCACCAGTATCAAAGACCAGCGCCCCAGATTTCAACGCATTTTGCACATACGAAAGTGGTCTGCTACGACGCTCCTGCAACACCAGCTCCTCAGCAATCTCAGCGAGCAATTTCTTGTCCAGATGTTGGAGGGGATAGCTGCGCAAATACGACATGCGCGGAGCAGCACAAGCAACCGTATGTGGGCTGCGCGGTGCACCAACACGAGGGAATTAGGCCTCAACACAACCCTCTTCAGGGCCGATATTGGCACATAAAGGTGTGGGTTGCTTTTGCTAATGATGATCAGATGTAGTATATTCTGTACGATGTTTACAACTCAGTCGAAAGTAGGCTAATGGACGTCCTAGTAGTCGAACGATACGCAAGGAGAAGCTCTCATCAACTTAACGCGTTGCTTCTATGTACACTTAAGAAGGCTTGCTTGTGCCTGCATATACGGCCGTTTTGCAGATGAGTAGTGGCAAGCTACGCCTCATCTGATGGCAAGTCTCATCCTCTTCTGCAGTTCCAGGTGCGTAAGTCGCTGAGTTCCAGACACCCAGAAGATTCGAGGAGGCTAGTTGCATATGAGAAACTCTTTTCTCAAGTGATTTGGCTATACAGGAGGCCACCACAGTCTTCTCACAACATCCAGGGGCCTCGCTACAGTTAGAAGCCACCGAAATTAACAAGCAACTCGTCCATTTCGCAGTAGCAGCCGACCCTGTTTTGGTGCTGCGTTCCGCACACACGAGTCTCAGAGCGTTATAAATGCCGGGTCAAAAAGGGTGATTGAAATGCATTTTCTCCAAGTTTTATTGAGTGCATTTTGACTGCTTTTCCCATCCCAGTTGCCATGTGTAGTTTGGGCAGAGGACGGTTGGAGTGTGGTGGGCGAGGCTTCCTGATTCGCTACACCGGGCCCGTATGCTGCTGTGCTCACGACGCCTGGAGCCTCCAACAATGATTGCCTGCTTCGTGAGAATGCAAATCTGGAGGAGTTTGACTCAATTTCTGCTTAAGGCGGCCATCTGCTCGATACACAGTGTGTTTCCTTACAGGAAGCCTCGCACACCACACGCCAACCGTCTTCTGCCCGAACTACACATGGCAACTGGGATGCGAAAAGCAGTCAAAATGCACTCAATAAAACTTGGTGAAAGTGCATTTGAATCGCTTTTTTGACTCGACATTTATAACGCTCTGAGACTCGCGTCTGCGGACCGCAGCACCAGAACAGGTTCGAATGATTCTGCGAAATGGACGAGTTACTAGGTAATTTCTGTTCCAAGAGCAATTAAAAACTAACAATGCTTTGTAAACTTAGGAACACGAATGAGCAGCTTGTCTCTTCCTGAAACAAACGCTGCATACTACACCACACGACCTGCGGCCGCCGACAGTGCTGCGGGTTGCTGTTGTTGCAGCTCCGGCTGTCCCGGCGTCCCTTCTTCACAACGTCTTAAGCCGCTCTCTAAGCGGCTTCAGTGGTTGGATTGGAGTCACTTGGAAAGAGCTAAGTAAGGCTTTATTTGTACATCGCTTGAGAAGGATTTTGCCTTTGGGTTGATTTGTGAAGTCGACCAGGACGGGCGGGGCGTCTCCACCCTTCGATGCTATGGCGTGTCTTAGCGAAATACCAAGCCTTTGCTCGTTCTTCTTGTGTAGCTGTTGGCTTTTCCAAGGCACCCGCGACTAGATAGGGCGCTACCAATGAGACGCCAGGAGTCGCCAAGTCACAGTGGCAGAAGAATGCCATTTTTGTTGGTTGTGACACTATCGGGGTGGCTTGGAGTGAGGTTGGTCTTTGCCAAAGATGCTGTGGCCACCAGTCCCGCTGCCTCTCTCTGGAACGGATTCCAGACGGAACTGATGGGGGAGGACGCAATGTTGGTCGGCTCGTGGAGCACTGCGGATCTCCAAGAGGAAGCGGCGGTCACCAGGACCCTGCTTTTTGATACCGCACATACAGACTCGCCTGTCGAAGGTGCAGACTCTACCGCCCCTAGATTTGGTACAACAATCTCTTCCACAAGATCAGCAACTAGTTTCCTCCCCACCGATGCCGTTCAGGACGGTGCAATAACACCTTCACCACCCAAGGACAACGCGAGACGCCGAAGCCTCCCGAAGTCCGTGCGCACTACTGCCGTGCTCTTTGTTGCAACATTGGGGCTACTCGCTTTCAAATCTATGGGTGCTTTGGGGCTTGGAGAGACAGAAGAGCACCACAGACGCGAGCAGCACCAGCACCAGCGAGCACAGAAGAGAGGCAGTAAGACTGTACTGGAGCAGCTGAATGAGCTGGATGAGCTGCATCCGGTTGCAGCCTGGTTGGCGGAGCTCGTGGACTCTGATGACTCTCGTTCCGCTCTTCTCAAATTTCGCAGGAGTGTGGAGAGGGCCAAGCAGGCACAGGAAGAGTTATCAGCAAGCTCGTTACGGTCTCGCGATCTGCCTGAGGATTTAGCGAAGGAGGCTTTGGACAGCGGGGTCGCTGAGCTATCTACCCTGTTTGAGTTGGCACGGCAACATGGACTTTCTCTGGCGCAGGAAACACGGGAAGTTCCTGCTCCTGCGGAATTATCAGAACAGGAGCTGAATGCCCTAGGCCGTATGGATTTTAATATCACATCATCCATCGCTTTTCACATAGAGAATCTAGACTTTTCTTGCCGAGCCTTTAAGAGGCACGCAGAACGGGCAGAGAAGGAGTTGAAGGCTCGACCAGCCTTCAAAGGATTGGAGGATCGGCTCTTGCTGAGTGCTGTTGCTGCAGACTTGGAGTTCATTAAAGCAGCGTATGATGCTGTAGAGATGGGTAAACGTTCTACTGTGGAGTTGGCATCGACTGCCAGCATAGTGATGATGTCTCATGTCGTACGGGAGCAGATGCGCACCTACAGGGAGTACAGAGATACGCTTCAGGAGCGCCGTGCCCTGTGGCGAGCAGAAAAAGAGCGGCAGCAGTCTCTCCCCGTAGAGGATAATGCCGTCTTAAAAGAGCTTGATGAGGTGGATATTGAGTTGGACAAAGGAGAACGGTTGCTGAAGATGCACCGGTCGAAGATTGAACAGCTTCAGAAGAGCAGGAACATCCTACCTGCACAGGAGGTGGCGCAACAAGCTGTAGAGGTAGGACAGGATTTGAAGACACTCCTGGAATCAGTGGCCTTTCGTATGCATTCTATGATAGGGGTGGCGAAAGCAGAGGAATTAGGAAATGGAGGGGCGCAGAAAGCAATGAAGGCAATTGCCTCCAGGGCCAGCGAGGAGGCTGCAGCAGCGAGCAAGAGGGTGGCAGACATCCTAGCAGAAGTAAAGTTGGCGGAGCGCTTCCTTTCTGCCTCGTCAGGGATAGTACAGGTGAATGAGCAGGGGGACACAATGGCAAAGACATTGGTTAACTCAACCCTGCTGAAGCTGCTGAAAGATTCGTTGCAACAACTGGGCGATAACGCCACGGCAGCTGCGAGCCTGCTTTTCAATGTAGCAGCGAGTAATTCAGCGGAAATAGCGACTTCTGTTCAAAAGACAACAATGGCTACAGAAGAGATCTCCAGGGAGGCGGAGATGTTGTGGTTGCATGCACAGTTTTTGGAGTCTGTCGAACTCGACATGCAACTGAGTGCCAGGCTAGCGCAGCGGGTGGCAGCACTTGCTGGAGCCCAAAGCATTCCAGGGAAAACCTCGGTGGCACTCAAATTTTCTCCATCAAGAAAAAGGCAGTTTGAATCCTTGTTTCATCGTCTGACCCAGACCAAGGCAACAGCGATGTCGCAGTGGAGCTTTGGGGATCTGGCGGCAACAGCGGCATCAATGAAGGGGGCAGCCTTAGGTCTCGTATTGATGTTAGAGGGGCACCAACTGGACTCAAGCCTCTACTTTACACACTAGAAGATTCATCTGGTTGACGCTCTTCCAATTGCGGAAATTGAGCCACTTTGTGCATCATTGGGGTACTTGGTCCCCGTTGCATCTGGCCAGTTAATGAGTCTCTCAAGTGGAGAGAGCGAGATTAGCGGCGAGCTGACAGGAAGATATATTTCATTTGTAAAAGAGGGGCCACTTAATGAGATAGTTTTGGAGGTGGCAGCTTTTGCTTCGCCTGATTATGGAGCAAGAGAGACAAATTTCCGACAGCGAAAAAGCAGCTGACCGTTTTTGCATCTGACGTGACGTGGCTTCCGTTTGGCCGCTTAGTAAGCAGGCTTTGAAAGAGAGCCCAGTGGAAAGAGCTGCAAGCATGACCGGTTTCTCTATACTTTCTTCTGTGTGGCTGTATCAGATGGCTTTAGGCCCGTAGACTAGCATTTAGACGCCAGGAGTACCTTGGGGCATCCACTATCTGGGGGGCGGGGGGTGAGGGAGACAGCAGACGGCTCTGCTTGCGGTTTAAAAGAATCGCCAGCTTTATATATGTAGCAACCATGCTCCTAATGTGTTAATCGTGACCTATAGTGGCCTTTTGCCTCAATGGAGGCGCTGCACTGAGAAAGGCTCTTCTTCAGTGCTCGGAAAGGCAGTGGCAGATCTTGGTATTTGCTCATATTTCGGGCGCATACGTGCATACATACATACACTGAAAGAAAATACTCGGCATGCCCATGGGAATGATGGACCATTGAGAATAATGCGGTGATTCAGAAGAGGGGCTGTATTGCTTGTGGTGAAATGCTTCGAACTGTTGTAGCGAGCTCCGCAGCACCGCCAACAGCACACATTGCTGCTGCTGCAAGGCGAATGCATTTTACCTGTCGTTCATTTCGATTTCCTTGTTTTTCGTTGATGCCTTGGCTGTAACTGTTTACTTCATGCTGGCTGCTTCATCCCTGTCTTCTGGGTATTGTCGAGGCATGCCCCGTTGACTATAATCCCAAACAGACCGTTTTCTGCTGAGGAACACACAATTTTATTGAATGCTATAGAAGGCGTTTGGGGCAGGGCTAGGAGCGACGGGTGATCGATATGACACTGACTTCTTCGCAGCGCAGATACTTTTTCTGTTTCACGCCGTCAACGAAGCGCAACTACATCGTATGCCGCAGTGCTTTTCTCTGGAGTAGCTACATCTGCTTTTAAAAGCAGCAGATCTATTACCTTGAAAAGCCATAACCGCGGCGTCCGTAAAAACCTTCATTTACAGGATTTCAGGGCTGCTAGTACTGAAGTCTCTCCCTGCAGGGTGGCTGGGGATGCCCTTAAAGCGCCTCCCTTGCTGCTACTGTACAAATATAAGCCTCTACAGCCGCTGCAGTAGGCAGCGTTCTACTGCAGCAGGCAGCGTTCTACTGCAGCAGGCAGCGTTCTACTATAGCAGGCAGCGTTCTACTGCAGCAGGCAGCGTTCTGCTGCAGCAGGCAGCGTTCTGCTGCAGCAGGCATGCTGGGAATTAAACTCAAGCATCCGATGCTAAGTGTGAGGCCTTGATCTTGACCTCAACAGCGCAGAAGCATGTTGAGCTGCGTTTCTGGGGAGGCTCAGTTTGTAGCTGCTGGTGATGGAAACAAGCACAAGCTAATCTCTAATTTGTAGAAGAACACTATGCGCATCCTGTGATTGCACTGCAGTGGGCAATTCGTTATTTTCCAGCTTGTCTCGAATATCTTCCATCGTTTCAAGGCCAAGCTGTCACTCGTGAATTATGCTTATTGGGAACGCAGTCTGTGCAGTGTACGTAAACGCCCTTGGCGTTGCTTATGCAGTGCAACGACTCGAGTACCTATTGGAAATGCAGGACACCAATGAAGATAAGGCTTTGAGCCTCTCCAACAGCTAGCAAATGTACTGCTGTGATGAGGTTCCTGTCGTCTTCCTCAGAAAACGGGTATATGTTAGAAAAATACGGAACTGCTGTGTGGGAAAATTTTGACCACCTCTCCCGCGTTCTGTCTTTGGCAACGCTGAGCAGCATGCCCAGTGGCCAGGAAATGGGTGAGGAGGCCGCCGGAGGGATCCCATGCAATCTCCTCTAAATGCGGGCTATCACGCGAGAAACTTGTTTCTCACACGAATTCCCTTTCATGCACGAGCTTGAGGTGTCTGCCATTCTGTCTCTCAGTATGTCTTAATCTAGATAGCACCTATGAATGAACATCTACGTGAGTGTATCCTATGTGCAAATGCTACATGCGCCAGCTTGGGTTGGTTGGACCCGTCTACGTCGAGCAGCCGCTGTCTCGGATGGCGTTCTCCTGGATGTACTTTTGCGCCCCACCGCTGTACTGGTGCCTTTTGCCAAGGAATCGCAGATCACTCTTTTCGAACCGTTTCATGTACGGTGCTTCAGTTGCCGCTGTAGCAGCTTACCTTTCTGCGGCAGCACTAGCCGACCCTCCTACAGAGGGTCCTCGCTTCTCTGTGAACAGCAATGTGCTTCCCAACTGCCACCACCTGTCCAGCAGTTTGGAACGGCAGTGAGACTGAGGCCTAATGGTTGGAGGTTCGCGCGAATCTGTTGAGTGTTTGTACCCACTGGCAAGAAGCGGCAGCTTCTGCCTCAGTTGCTGGTGGCGGTTCTGGTACCGGGCTACCACTGCAATTTATGGGTTGACACCCTGAGCCAATATGAAGACAGCGGATACACCTGCCTGGATATATCTACGAATGTGAGGTGTCCTGTATCTGGCTGTCCCTTATAAGCTAAACATTGAAAATGCCTTTTCTGTTATCCCTTCAAGACCTAACAAGTTGGCCAGGCGGCCTAGAATTGATGAAAAAATGGCTGGCACAGATAACACATCCCTCCACCAGTCCAAAAGGTTCATGTTTGTGGCTTCACACATTGCATTCGCCAAAGCGCTGCTGGAGTTGCAACTACTCCAAACTACTCCAAAGCGCCACTTTTACTGAAAGAAAGCATCTCTCTGTGTTAAGAAAAAACCCCATGCTGCAGCATACCACATACAAAACCCCGTTACTTGGTAAGCATGTTCTAGCAACGCCCCAATCCAGAACCTCTGCGTTGCTTCAGGGCCCCACTTCGGCAGATGCGAAGATGCGTTCATCACATCTGTCTCTCTTGCCAGCCCACGCCTGCCACCAGGCAAGAAACAACGAGATATCGAGCCCCCTAACTGAAGGATGGTCACCACACCCAACTTGTATTACTACCGTGCCGTTGGTAAAACGGTTGGTCTCACATTTGAAGCTGCATCCATAAAACATAAAAGGATTGGAACCCGTCGAAGCGGTGTTGCAATACAGGGCAAGGGGTGGGACCACATCAGTTGGGTCTCCGCTACCTCTATGCTTCCAGCAAACCACCAGCATCTGCATTCACGCCTTGAAATGCTATCACCTCTCAACAGTCCTCTATACGAGAAAAATAACCCCTCCTGGGTGGCTGCGGCCGCGCCTTGTCGCTGTGCATTGCCATCTGCTGTACTCCTATCTCCGTATTGCGGAGCAGCCCAGCTTTCACGATAAAAAAAAAAGACGAAAAAACCCACAGCGGCACTGCAGCAAAGGAAATTGAGAGATATATGACTAGCAGCTGCCTTATGGATGCTTTACCGCATAAGGCCTTCGGATTGTTTCAGCTGCTGCTGCTGAACAAGTGTGGCGATTCTAACAGCTGCATTCTTCATGGCACCTGCTGTCAAAGCCAAGTCTCGCGCACTCCAGTGAGTCCGCGCCAAACTCTTCGTCGTGCGCACTTTTCTCTGAAGTGCTTCAACCTGCAATTTGTGTTGCGATGGCACTTCCGACGTCTGCGGCTCCTCTGTTGCTGCATCTGTCGGTGCTGCTTCAGTTGCCGCTACTCTTCCTCCCATATGCGCCAGGGTGGCACTTACATGCAAGTCGCTTTCCAGAGACTCTAACAGCAATGCGTGTAGCCACAGGAGCTCTGCCGTCCCAGCGAGACCATCTGCGACAGCGGCTGCGTTTCTTGCTGCCGCCATCAAAGTCCGTCCAGGCATTCCTCCTCCCTCGCCTTTCAAAATCGCGGCAGCTGCATTGCCAGCCTGCCAAGAAGCCGCCGTTGCATTCCTTTCGGCTTGGTGCAGCGAGTCTGTCAGGAACTTAAGCATGGCTTGGTTAACATGCGTCCTTCTCGGCGACTCTTTCTGCCGTGCTACCTGGCTTATTCCCAAAGGTAGACGATTCAAGGGCAACCGCGCGTGTACCTCCGTTTGGATATCTGACACTTTCCTGCTGGCCTCCTCTGCCTCTTGGCTAGCCCTTACAGCTATAGCCATGTATGCATCTTTGGCATCCTCCTCTTCTGTCGCGAAACCGATTAAAGAATTCAAGCGAAAGCCCGCCGCATCCAGCACCGATTTCAGCTCCCCTCCCAGATCTGCCGCCTGCTGTCTCATTGCTCCAACCCACAAGATTTCCCTTTCGTTCTGCAGCCGGTCAATTCCCTCCCGGTACTGCTCTAGAAGCTGCTTCGCTCTGTTCAGCAGTGTATCAACCGTGTCCAGTCCCTGCAGGACTGCGGTTCCCTCCTCAGGATGACGCAGGTGCCTCTCTCTCCCTACCGAGCACAGGGCTCGCCGTTCCTCCAGGACGTCACGACAGTCTCTATACATGCGCATCTGCTCCCGCACGGCGTGAGACAGAACAACCGATGCGACGTTAGATGCTATCTCTTCAGCAGACTCCCGCCCTATTGCTGCTGCCTCATGCGCTACCCTGATGAAATGCAGATGTCCAGAAACGGCCTCCAGAAGCATCCCGTCTGCCAGTTTTTCCAACTTTGGCAGGCCCTCAAGAGAAGCCTTCGTTTCCTCCAGCTTTCGCATGAACGCCTGGCAGGAGAAATTAAGATTTGCTAGGTGGTTTACCAGCGCCTCTAGAAGGGCTGGACCCAAATAGCCTTCCATGACCTTCAGCTCCCGATCTGAAAATTCATGCACGGGATGAATTTTCCGCGTCGCTTGTATCAGATGGAGTCCATGTTGTCGGGCCACTTCATACAAATGGGTCAATGCAGACATGCTCTTATCTAATGCCCTCCTCATAACACTTTCGGGCGACGCCCAAGGGTTCGAAGAACTCATCATGAGCTCGTGCACCTGTTTGGCCCTCTCTACACGCTTCCAGAGCTCCTGCAAAGCGAGACGAGACTCGTGAGTGCCTACACTATCGGCTAGCAGAGCACCCACTGACTGCAGCTGCAATAACTGACTCATCTGTTGAGCAAATTCCTCCCTCGACCCTCTATCGTCGCTTTCACGTTCTTGCTCCTGTTGGAGCTGCGCATGTAGCTCGTTCTGATAGTAATGCTCTCCTTGTTGCTTCGAACCTCCCGGACTTCTGAGAGATCGGACTGCGGCTACTGCTAAACAAAAAATGAAGAGCACGGCAGCAATGCTGATCCCAGGTACATTAACCTGCCGTAGGTCTTTGCCCCACCCCAGGTGAGGCGATTTGACTGCTGCATTAGCCTCAGCGGCTTCATCTGGCAGATCGTCGCCTAAGGTTATTGCTGGGAGCGCAGGATCGGCGTTCACGAGGACAGGCTCCGCATGGGCACTCGACGCAGCGTTCAACTGGCTGTCTACAAGAGTGGAAGAGGGCGAGTCCTGAACTAAACGGCTATCCAAAACATTGATATCTACTGACGACTCCGTATGCATGCTCGTCCAAGTGCTCCCGGCTGCAACACTCTCATGGACGAGAGTTACTGCGCCCAGCCACAAGGCAGCGGCGGAAATACACAGCATCATCTGGGCCCTTTCCAACCACTACCAACTACCGTCCAACGTCTAATAGGACATTCTTAAAGTATAGAAGGAAGTGAAAACCATGAAAAAAACACTTGCGGGAACAAATTTCCCTACACACGCTCCGTCGCCGTGCTTGGTCCTTCCTCGCCAGAGTGCCAAAAAATGCCACAACTGTTGTGTGGCTCTAGAGAGGACGAAAATGTTGTTCTTCTATATAAAATTCATGGGGAACTTATGCAATTAGTAGTCTTGAAAGGCGGCGACGACTGCAAGGAGTGCCCACAGCACCTTCCGGCGAGAGGAGCAGAACACAAAAGGGCAAGCAATAGATAGTGAGTCCACCTTATAAAAGTCATCGTATGTTACGGTTAATCCTATATTACCCAAAAATAGAAGTTTGTGTCTCCTGTGGCATTAACTGGAAGCTGTGCGCAGACAACGGGGACGCGATGAAGAGGCCAATGCATGCCTGCCGCTGTGCCCGGCTGCCTTTGCTCCAAGATACTTTAGTGGCCTGCAATATATCACTTGCTGTCCAGTTTTGTCAACAAGTGAGTTTACATCAGGGATGTGTGTGTGCCATGCGGCATGTCTACCAAGCTTATTCCTTAGAGAAGCCTGCTTTAACACTGCATGCGGATAGAGGATGGGGCAAGGCTTGCCAAAAGTAGTTGCTTGCATGCTTGTTGACTTGTCTGCAGGCTACTGGGAACCAAGTTGTTGCTAAAGAGTTTGCAGCTGTGTTTGTGCATGCTTGCTTGGCTATGCCTGCCCGTGGTAATGCTGTCTCGACGAGAGTTGCTGCAGAAGTGCTGCAGAAAGTAGGAGGTTGCATCACTTCGGGAGCCGTGTGCCCCTGTATTCAGGACTCTGGATTAGCGTAGGGGAGGTCAGCAGCCCTCTGTCTTACATCCAGCCCACCGGTAGCCAGGTTGAAGCTGGTGCATGCGCTGACTTGCACTGACTGACTAGGGCGTCTCAACCCCACAGTCGTCCCCTCCTCTGTTAGCCTGCACATCAGCAGCAAAGTCGCTCTCACCCGATAACTAGAATTGGAAGAGGCATTCACCAGAGGAAGTAGAACAAGGACCTGCCGGCCCGTGCGTTACCACACCCGTAGTACTGCTGCTGGTGCTATCGCCGTCTCTATGCTTAATTAAGCATTCATACAAGACGTCCTGTATGCTGCTAGTGGCATAGCAGCAACGGCAGCGAATTCTGCCGCTCGCGCTATCTACTAAGTGCACTTCAAGAGTAAGAAATGGGCGCTAGGCGCCAGTCAAACTAAACCAAAATAAAGAAACACATGTGGCGTATTCTGCAGCTGCAGCAATGTGCACCAGCAGCTACTGATGGTGCTGCTAGCATCGCAGCTGCCTGCGTGGCCGCTGCGGTCGTGGCGCTATGTTTAGCACTTCAGCCCAGTTCAGTTACAGCTGCACAGGCGGCATCTGCTGCTCCCTGTCAGAAGCGGCCGAACTAGGAGGCACTTGCTGCTGCTGCAGCAGCAAATGAGGAGGTACGCCTTGATTATGTAGGGGTGGCCCCACTGAAGCCGGCGCTACAGCCGAAGCTGCCGCCGTGCTCCAGGCGTCTGCAGCGGAAGGGGATTTCCTCTTCTGCCTACTGCTGCTGGTGCTGCTGCCTCTGCTACCACCCCCACGGCCTCTACCGCCTCGCTGTTGCTGCATCAGCTGTTGCTGCTGAGAGAGCAGTTGTTGCTGTTGCTGCTGCTGTAGCAGCGGTTGGTGCTGCTGAGGCTGCTGCTGCAGCTGCTGCAGAAGCTGTTGTTGGTTCTGCTGCAACTTTTGCTGCATTTGAAATTGCTGGAACTGAAGTTGTTGCTGCCGATGGTGATTATTTTGCGGCTGCTGCTGCTGCAGCAGCTGCTGCTGCAACTGCTGCTGCGTCTGGTGCAAGTGCTGGAGTTGCTGGGCCAATGGCAGGTTGAACATCAGACCCCTTTCCCCACCTACATGTCGCTGCGCCAGCTGCTGCATTATAAGGCCTAAGGCCCCCGCCTGTAGCATAGGCTGGTTCTGCTGTTGCTGTTGCTGCAGCGGCTGCTGGAAAGCCTGTTGCTGCGGCTGTTGTTGGGCCTGGAGAAGCGCTGACGGTTCCCCCGATGACGCAGCCGCTGCTGCGGCGGCAGAATGGAGTCCCTTCTGCAGCAGTAACAGTTGCTGTTGTTGTTGCTGCAGCGCTGGATCAGCTGCCGGAACAGCAGCAGCATCCTTGAGTTGTTGTAAAAGCAACAGCTGTTGCGCCACGTTTCTGTCGTTGAGCAGCTTCTTATCAGCTTCCTCAGCGGCCTGTACGAGCATCACATACTCAGAAACCTTAACCCCAATGGAAACAACTGAGCTACACCTCACTACGCTTTGATCGTTAATAACCAAACGCCTCGAAGGTACGCCTTCACTTTTTAGTGTAGGCGAAATCCCCAAATCCTGAATCACTGCTCACCTTTTTTAGACGTGCATACGTCGGTATTCCATCGGGGAGGATCGGCAGCTTCGAGGCCTCTTCGATGAGGGCCCAAAGGGCGTCTGTCCGAGGGGCCTGATTCTGCAGCTGCAGCAACTGCTGCGGTGGCAACCCGCAACGTTGCTGCAGCTGCTGCAGCTGCAGTTGCTGCTGCAGCTGCAGCTGGTGCAAGGCTGCCTCTGCCTTCTGCTCCCAAGCTTCGACAGCAGCAATGGCAGCAGACACTGCAGCAATGCCGCCCGTCTCCACTGGCAGGCTAGAGGCTTCCATGAGCTGCAGCACAGCAACAACACCCCTTATGCCACGTTCACAGGAGAGATCCCAGCTAGGAGCACCAGCAACCGCAAGTATTCCTGCCTGCCTGCAAGCTGCGCAAGCAGGCAACAACATCACTCACCATCGCACGTGCTGCCTCCAGACTAGATATTGGCTGCGATGCAACTGCATTTTGCACCTTCTGCTGCAAAATCAAGGCCCGGGCATGCAGCTGCTTCACAAGAGTTGCAGCCTCCACAGCTAGCCCCAAGTTATTGGCACCCTCGACTAAAGAGAGCCATTCAGCCCACGACAACCGCTGTTGCTGCTGTGGCTGCTGCTGCTGCTGCTGGGAAGCTTGCTGCAGCAGCGCAGCTGGCCCTTTAGTGGCAGGTAGAACCACCGCAGCTGATGCTGAACCTCCTTCCGTCAGCACTAGCTGCGGCAAGGGCCCCACAACCTGCAGTTCTCTCACCCGTTTTTCAAAGTCCAGCACGTTTTCTAAAGTAGATCGCAACAAAGACAGGATGGGGGCCCCCACTACAAGGAATCGTTTACTGCACGCTGCCAGAGGGGCAAGCTCCAGCTTCTTCGCATCCTCTTCAGTTGCAGGCTGTCGTGACCCTCCTTCTTCTTCAGTCTGCTGCTGCTGCTGCCTGAGGTCCTCCTGTGCTTTGATGCGGGCGTTGCACTTCTGGCGCAGCGGTTCGTACACCTGGACCATTCGCCACAAGTGTGCCGTGTTGCGGTAAGCTGGGGGCAAAGGTTTTTGGTTGCTGACTAGTCCGCTTTGTTGCTGCTGCTGTTGCTGTCGTGAGGTGTCAGATTCCATTTCGATGCAAGCAGCGAGGGCCTCCGCCTCCCGTTGCCACGCGCAAGCAGCAACCAGCTCGTGGAACAGCGGCTCATACTGGAGCCCGCCTATGCCGCTGCTGTGAAGTTGCTGCTCCAGATCTAGCAACTGCTGGTTGCTCCTCGCGACTGCTACTTCGGCTGCTGCATGAGCTGCCTCCGCCTCTGCCAAACTAGCGTCAGCTTTCTGTAGCTCCTCCCTGAATCCATGTTCCTGCCCAACAGCATCGCCCACTTGCTGCGGCTGCAACAAAAGTAGCTGCTCGCGGCGCTTCTGTGCCTGTTGGACCAATTCGTGCTGTTTCAGCTGTTCCGCTGCGTCCCGCTCTGCCTGGAGCAGCGCAACAACCATCTGCTGCTGGAGCTGCTGCCCCTTAAGCAGTAGCCGCTCAGCTGCAAGGCTGCAAGGGACCCGAATGCGGGGACAAGGCCTCGCCTCCGTCAACAGCAATTGCAGAGCGCCAATGGAAACGCTAGGCAAGGGCTCACCTGGAGCTGCTGGGCCGTTGCTGCCTCCGCTGCGCCGCTGCGGAAGGGTCTCCGTAAGGAAACGCAGTGCAGCAGCCCATTCCTGAAGCCGCACGAGTAGACGACCAAGAAGCGAGAGCTCGGAGACAGAGCCCAAGCCACAGAGAACCCCGGTGGCAAGCAGCACAGAGAGGGCCAGCAAGTCCAAGGGAAGGCCCTCATCTCTTCGCCGTCGCGTTCGAGTGTACAGGCACCCCAAACCATGAGGTAGTGCCACTACTAACTCTTCATCGATGTCGTCTTCTCCTGCATCTCTTGCACCTCCCTGTCCAACAGCCACGATGCACCCCATCAGTAGGTCTTCCACTGTCTCTCCATGTCTGCGTCTTTGCGCAGCGACCTCTTCGTCGTACTCTTCTGCCGCAGCAGCTGCAGTTGCTGCCGCTGCAGGCCCCCCACCTGCTGATGCTGCAGCCTGCTGCTGCTGAACAACAGCACCTCTCGACGCGGCACCCAAGTACGCCCTTGCCCCCGCTCCTTGGTGTGCTCCCCTGCCCCGTCCCCTTCCAGGACCTGGGCGAGGCGTCCTGCTGTAAGGGCCTTTCTTAATCCCTGTTTTCTTCGGCAGCAAAAGCAAGTCGCGCGCCGAAGCGGTTCTCAGTGCACCTGTACGTGTTCGTGTGTTGCGGTCTGCTGCTGTGGCTGCCTTTCGGCCCCGTGCACCTGCTCCTTCTGCTATTGTGCCATCCTTGAGCTCACTGGTTGCAACCTCTAAGTGGCGGTTCTCCGTAATTTCTTCTTCCGCCGTGTCACGGGTCGTACTTTCTACTCCTGCGCCTACAAGTAACTCCACCTGCTTCTGCTGCTGATGCTGCTGCACCTCATCCTGCGGAGCATCTGTCTCCGTCCGCTGCAGCTGTTGCACCGCACTGCACCCCTCATCCATCTCGTTTGGCTCCGCCTCCCCCTGCGGCTGGTGCCCCGCTGCGTCTGCAGCAATGTTAAGCGATGAAGGTTCTTCATGTTGAGCAACCGCTGCATTTGTTGCTGCCGGTGTATCTACTGCAGCAACAGCGTCAGGCGCAGTGGCGACATCTAATGACGCAGTAACAGCCTCGTCTTCAAGGTGGAGCCTGTGCTGCAGCCGCTCCTGCTGCACCTCAGCCGACACCCGGAAAATGCAGTTTGAAGCTGGCAATTCAAGCAACATCTTCAAAGCGTCCCGAACCCAAAGGCGTAGCAAACATATGCGTTGCTGCAACGCCTCTCGCTCCTGGAGCAGCACATGCTGCACCGGCAAAGTTTCCGCCTCTCGCAGCAACCGCAGCACCTGAAGCAGACGCAACAAATAAAGCAGCAGCAGAATTCGAATAGGCACATGCTAGCAAACTACGGCTGATGATACAGCAACCACCGGGGAAACCCTGGAGGACGAAAAGGGCGACCGAAGCAGTAGCACCCGCAGCAACAGAACCTACCCTGGAAGCCGCAGGCAGAGACACCTTGGCCGCTGTCAACGAGAACAGCTGAGCCACTCGCGTCCCGCTGAGTCTCACGAAGTCTTGTAACGTTGCCGCTGCTCCAGCACCCCTTGCTGTACACCCCACGCAGATCCACGGGCCCCCACAGTCTGGCGGAGGAGGCAGTAGAAGCACACTCCCTGTGCCGTTAACCGCTGGAGTTGAGGCAGGAGCCACAGCAGCTGCTGCGTTCTCACCGTCCGACTGCTGCTGTTTGCTTGCAAGCTGCGACACGCAATTCAAATGGAATCGCCTGCTGCAATAGCTGCAGCTGATCCACCCTCCCATGCCGTCCTCGTCAAGGGGTAGCAGCTGCTGCTGCTGCATGTATGCATCTTCTGCTGCTGCTGCTGCCTCTGCTACAGCAGCAGGGTCATCGACTTTGCACCCTAAAACGGCTCGCAGCTGCTGCCGCCGGTTATAGTGCTGCCTGTACACCAGACAAGGGTGCTGCGGCGAGTCCTGTTGCTGCAGCGGCTTGCTGCAAAGGAGACAAACCTCCGCTGGCTCTGCGTGCAGTAGCAGTGCAGCCTCCTGCAGCTGGACGAAGGCACGCTGAATGGGAGTCAAACACAGAGCCGGATCCGCCGCAATAAACCACTCGTCACAGCATTCAGTTCCCTGCTGCTGTTGCTGTTGCTGCTGCTGTTGCGGCTGCTGTTGATGTGGTTGCTGCTGCTGCTGTTCCGTATCAGAAGGGAACGGTTTTGGCTCCGACTTCCTCGCCTCTTCGCAAGGCGCGGAACCAGGGAGCAGCAGCTGCTGTGGCTGCGATTGCTGCTGCTCGCCGTAGCCTGTGGCGTCATCTGTCAGCAGCAAGTGGTAGCGCAGCAGCTGGCGGGACACCGGTACAGACGGATCCGTCGATGCGTCGAGGCGAGTCCAAGGTCGGTGATATCCATCCTACAGCAGCGGCAACAGTAGAACAGCAGAAGGAAAGTGAGACAGCAATTGAGGCGACGCTGCAGCAGCAAGCGATGCACCACCAGCGACAGCAGCACTTACCCTTGGAAGGAAGCAGATGGCTTCCCTCGCTCGCACTGCCCAATCAACTGCATGCAACAGTAGCGCAGCAACGCGTCCTTTCAACGGTAGCTGCAGCGGGAGGCCATCAAGGACTTCCAGTAGACGGAGGAGAGAGAGAAGGGACGCCTGAGGTAGTGGCGCCCTCAGGGCCTCCTCGAGCAACTGTCTCCTGTCAGGAGACAGCTTCCGGCCCCGCGACTCTGGTAGCAACGGCTCCTGCTGCTGCTGCTGCTGCTCTCTCTGCTGTTGTATCACATCCTCGTTTTCGTAGAAGTCAAAGTCCAAGAGAGATCGCCGATATAGCCACACTGTTGCTGCAGAGACGGTGGGCCCTCCGGCCTCGCTGCCGTTGTTGCTGTTGTTAGCGCTATCCAGAGACATTCGGGAAATATGCTGCACGCACCGCATGCTGCTGCCTGCTGCGTCATCCCGCAACACAGGACCTGCCATATTCTGCAACAGCTGCAGCAGCCGCTGTACCTCTTCTTCATCATCGGGCGCTGCAGGGGTATTTAAGGATCCATCTACCAACATGCCCTCCAGCATACAGCCATCCTGCTGCTGCTGCTGCTGCTGCTGGTGCTGCTGCTGTGCAAGACCAAAAGCACGTGCAGGCACCTCCCAGTCCTCTAATCCCACGTCCCACGGCGTCCCTTGCCAGAAGTCCGTCCCCGCACCAGCGAGCCCCACAGGCGGCCTGCGCATTCGTTGTTGTAGCTGTTGTTGCTGCTGACTGTTAGCTGGTTCGCTCGGGCCATCTACCTCTAGAGCAGCAACTGCTGCTACTTCCGCTCCAGCCGGAGGAGTTGCGTCCCCTAAGGGGGACACAGGCTCTGTAACCGCATCCTGCTGCTGCTGCTGACGTCGTTGTTGTTGCACGTCCTGCTGCAGGTCTTGCTGTAGCTGGTGTTGCTCCTGATGCTGTTGCGGCTTGTCCTGGAGGTGCGCCTTATGACAGTCACCTGAACCAGACGGCCTAAGCTCCTGCTGTATGAGCAACTGCCTGGCGAGCTGGGGGTCAAACAATTCCTGCAGTGCCTCCTCAACCTCGCTTTCCGTCTCAAAGAACCCATCCGTACCAGCAGCACCTAGCTGCTGCTGCTGCTGCTGATGGTCCTGTTGGTTACACCCACTCTCAACGGGTGTTCGTAGCCACTCGAGAAGACGGGTCTTCATGTCTCGCTGGTTATCCTGCTGCTGCTGTTGCTGCTGCTGCAATTCCTTCTGCTTCTCCAACACCTTCATCACGCCCTCCCTCGAGCACAAGCCCGTGGGAGCAATACATCGATATGGGTTCTGGTAAGGAGGAGCTTTGCTGCTGCAACAGATTTGCATGCGGCGGCGTAAGGGGAGCGACAGAGTCCCTTGGGCCGTGGGGGCGAGTTGCTCCTGCGCTGATCGCAGCAGCTGTTGCTGTTTCTCTGTGTCTCCTGCAGCAGCTGCCTGTTCTGCCGCCGTCTTTTCCTGCTCTGCTGCCATGCGTTGCCTCCGCATCAGATCTTCTTCTTGCTGGAGGAATGGGTACTGCTGGCGCAGCCACCAACTCAGCAGAAGCTGGGCCACCAGCAGAGCCTGCAGCAAGATCGTCTCACCCGTCAGAAAGCCGCCGGAGCCACAGATACGCAGCAGCAGCAGCAGGCCCTCCCTGAAAGTGGGCAACGGTATCCCTGAGGCCCGCAGCATCTCCTTTGAAGAAAAACACCGGACCCTACGCCCGTCGCCTATCCGTGGAGTCGTATTGCGGCAAGGGTAGTTGTGGCTCTGCTTCGCTCGCCTGCCTAGCTGCGGGAAAGCGCCTCCCATTGCTGCAGCAGCAGCCGCTGCTGCTGGTCCTCCTGCTGTCGACGCTCCAGAAGCCACATTCTGCTGTTGCAAGGGCACTGCATGCTGCAGCTCATCCCGTATAACCGACGGCACGCTGCAGTCAGCCACAGAAACTTCATCCTGCATGTGGTGGTGCTGCTGCTGCTGCTGCTGCTGCTGCTCGTTAGCGAGCTCCGTTGAAGCCTCCGCCAATTTGACTCTCTTCCCGTGACCCGCTGCTGGGATCCCTGGGGACTGTTGGCGAGCAGCAGCACGCTTCTGAGACAGCTGCTGCTGCTGCTGCTGCTGCTGAGAAACAACAGCTGCCGCGTCTGTGGTATCAGGGGTGTACTGCTGCTGCTGCTGCTGTTGCTGCTGCACAACTGCGGCCTCGCCTACACCTGCATTCTGCTTCTTCGTGCCACTAGGCCCTCGGGACTTTCCTGGGAGAGCGTTGACCCCCTTAGTCAACCACAGACCGTGAGTAGACTGAGGAGAACATCGGCAACGCAACAACAACAGCCGCAAACAAAGAGCTGGGAAAGACAGCCGCATATATGCATGTGGAACAACAAAGGCACCAAGTATGCGAGGGAGGCTAAGCATAAGCACCACTGTGAGTATCCACCGGCTACAGAAATGCTGCCCCTGTGTTTACGTGGCTGTGTTGGGCCTGTATGCTGCAGCACAAGTGCTGTCATCAAAGCAGCAGCAGTGCTCACTGAATGGTCTCCCCTCCGCTTCGCCTTCGACTCAATTAGACGCAGCAGAGAAGGGTGCAGGGAACGCACGTCCGAGACTGGCCAGCTAATCTTTCCACCAGTTAGCTGCCTGAACACACGCAACAGCAACAGCAAACAACGACACCTGCAAGTGCTGCAGGCGCTGCTGCTGCAAACAACGGGGGCCGCTGCAGCTGGGCCGCAGCCCCTCGTGCAACCTGCCCCATCGCACACCCCTTGTCCCAAACATCTACAATTGACCCGCAGCAACACGAGAAGGCCGCTGTGCCAGCGCAACTGCGGCCTTCTAGTCAACGGAACACTGTAGGGGTGAGTGCACGCAGCATGAATGTCTGAAAGACGAGCAGCCCCACAACCACAATCAGGAGCAGCGCCGCCAGCAGCAGCGTCACCAGCTACAACGGCAGCAGCAACCCACTTGTAGTGCAGAGCATATGCCGTCAGGAGGTGAAACGCATAACCAGGAGGCTTGCCATTAGGAAACACGCGACGAAACTCCGTCTCAGCCCCTACTGTTGCGGCTGCTGTAGTTGCTGCTGCAGCTGCTGCTGCTTCCGTTGCCGCTGTTCCCTCTTTCTCTGGAGCCTGATTCTCCGTTGAGCCCAGGAACTGGTGCTGCGGCGGCTCCTGGTGCTGCATTTCTTCCTCAAGCGGTGACGTTTGCTGCTGCTGCTCCTGCTGCGTGCGGTCTGCCTCCGCAGCAGCAGCAACATCCAGCAGCAGCTTGAGGTGCACTTGCAGGCCCATGAGCGTTTCAAGGGTCAACCCCTTTGTGACAGCGTACAGCAGCAGCCGCTGCAACTCCTCCGTCATGAGCGGCAGCACCAGCAACACACACTTGAGGATAAAGGAGGGCCCGAACGGGGGATGTTGCTGCTGCAGCGCGGCTTCGCGATCTGCCAGCCATGCCTTCCGCTCCTTGGCAGCAGCTGCTGCTGCTGCTAGCTGCTCCTTTTCAGCCGTAACAGCAGCTTCTGCACTCGCATCTGCTGCTGTGAACTGTCCTCCGTCCTCTTGCTTCTCCGCGATTTCGTCCGCTAGACCGCTGCTACCTGGAGAGGTGGAGAGCTGCAGTTGTTGTTGCATGCGCAGCTGTTCCAGCTGTTGCTGCTCTTCCCTCTCGTCGCCCTCATCAGGGCCAGCTGTGAATACAGCGCGCTTGTCGCAGAAGCAGCAACCCGCTTGCTCCGCCAAGAGGGCCTCTTGCGGGGGTCGCTGCATAAGACGGAGCTCGTCTAGAAGCGGCTGCTGCGCCTCCCTGACCACCGGCAGCCGCAAGCATCTGTATTGCTGCAGCCAGTCTTGGGTGTCTTTTACTAGAGCCCTTAGCCGCACGTAAGAAGGACCGTCAACCAGCTCCACAGGCAACGATACAATTGGTGACGCAGCGCTGCAGCCGTCGCAGCGTTGCAGCTCTTGCACCAGTGCCAACAAACGAACACTTTCCGGTGAAGGGGCCTTGTCTTCACCGCCCTCAACTTCCTGTTTTGGCGGCAGCAATTGCTGCTGCTGCTGCAACAGAAATGAAGCGCCCGCGGATCCGTCCAACGGATGAAGCTCTTGCAGCATGAGGGTCTCCTCTTCGTCTTCACTAAGCTCCTCAGCCGCCCCGGCCCCTGCAAGAGGATCTCCGACGGCCTCTCCTTCTGGCGCAGCTCCGGCTGCAGCTGCTTCGTCTGCTGCTGCTGCGACGTCGGCACCCGCTGCTGATGGTACTGCTGCTGCTGCTGACTCTGTAGGAACACTCCCGTTCTCCGCGTCGGCAGCAAGCTGCTCCTGTAGCTGCACGAACTGCTGCTGCTCTTCCTGCACGCCGTCGTGAGGCTGCTCTCCCGAAGGCGACACAGAAGCAGCAACGCCTGCTGCTGCTGCTTCTGCTGCTTCTTCAGTCTTGGCAGATCGGCGCGTTGTCAGTGGAATCAGCACATCCCCGTGCATCCTTGGACGGCGCGGCGCACGAGCGCTACGGCGAGTGGGGACGACAGGCTTCTGTTGTTGCTGCTGCTGCTGCTGTTGCTGTTGCTGCTGCTGTTGTTGCTGTTGCTGCTGCTGCTGGTGCTGCTGTTCTTCATCATCCAGACCCAGCTGCTGTCTCCTACGAGTCCTCACAGGAGATATACGCATTGGTGGGGGCTCCTCTTGGGGGTGTGTCTGGGGTGGCAGCAGCTGCTGCTGGAGCTGTAGCTGCAGCTCCAATAGCTGCTGCTGTGCTACTGCAGCTGCGGAGGTTGCCTGCTGTTGCTGTTGATGTTGTTGCTGTTGTTGCTGCTGTTGTTGTTGTTGTTGTTGTTGTTGATGATGTTGTTGTTGTTGTTGTTGTAGTTGTTGTTGTTGTTGTTGCTGCTGCTGTTGTTGTTGTTGTTGCTGCTGCTGCTGCTGGTGCTGCTGTTGCAGTTGTTGTTGCTGCTGCTGCTCAGCAGTCTCGTCCTCCTCCTCACCTTCTGCGGCTGCAGCGTCGTCAACAGCTGGGCCATCAGCTGAAGATGTAGGAGCCTTCACACCGCCTCCAGATTCCCGCACCTGCAGTCTCCGCGTCTCAATCTGCATGCAACAAGCACCCCAATGCGAACCAACACTAAGCAGCAGAGCATGCAACAGCACGGCGTAGGCCAACGTATACTGCCCCAGCTATCCCATACAGCACCAAATACAAATATGCGGGAATGCACGCATACATAGGTAATCTGACTGTGGTCATGCATGCAGGGGGGGTTGCGGGCAATGTAGGGGAGCCCCAGCCTAAGCAGGCAACGGACCTGCTGCAGCAGCTGCTCGGCTTCGGTCAAGGTGTGGCGTGGGCACCGGAGGAGAGATAGCATGCGGTGGTTGTACAGCCGAAGCAGAACCTGATGCAGCCAACAACAAACGGAGTTTCACGAACACGATGCAATCTCCCTAAATTGGCACTGGGACAGGGAGTCTCGTGTGTCTACGTGCATGCATACGATAGAGGCGTACCTCCACCTTGAGCAGCCGCCTCTCTTTAATATGGATTCGGCTAGCAGCGCATGCAGCAGCAAGCCGCCTCAGTCGCCTAGTCGTCCTCCACAATAGTGCATTTGCTGCGTCAGGCGACAGCAGCTGCAGCGCGAGGATCTGCTGCTCTTGTTCCTTTTGCACCTCTCTCAGCCGATGCTGCTGCTGCTGATTGCCAGCTGCGTCAGCTGTTGGGCTCATATCTCCTGCAAGTTCTGTTGCAGCCTTCTGCTGCTGCTGACGGAATAGGAACAACACCTGGGACTCCGAAATCGGGGAAGCGAAGTCGGGCTGTGGATTGACACCAGCAGCAATCCCGAAGAGGCACGCTGCACGCTCTCTGTAAGACTGTTGCAGGGCAGCAGCACAGCGATTCCTCAGCTGCTGCGCCGCCTTCACATGCTGCTGCAGCTCTGCGAATGGCAGCAGGGACTTGCCTAAGCCGAAGGGTTTACGAGTCAGCCTCTCTGCATCCAACAGGGAGACATAACCCCTCACGCGCGGTCCTTGCTGGTCTTGCTGCAAGCCCGGCGTAGCTGCCGCTGCAGCTGCTGCAGCAGCCGCTCCCGGAGGCAGGATCGTCAGGGGACCCGAACTGTCTTGCAGCATCTCTGCAATGACTCCTGCGGCGGCACTGGCACTGTGGCACCTCACCGCCGCACGGAGTTCAAGCATGTGCTGATACACCACACACCAGTCTGCACTTTGCTGTAGCTGCTCCTGCAGCTCCTGCAGTCCCTCTGGCTTGATCTGAAGCTTCTGCCCGCGCTCCACGTGCTGCTGCCAATGGCGCAGAGATACACCCCGCTCATGAAGCTGCGCCGTCTCCTCTATCCACATGGATACGTCTCTGCAGGCGTCCTTAAGACGCGTGAACCAGGGCAAATCCGGTGTCTCTGCAGGCAGCTTCAGCAGCTGCTCCTGCTGCTCCACAAACTGCTGCAACTCCACGCGAGGCTTGTCCTCACCCTGCAGATGAAGGGCAGCTGCTGCTTCTACCTGCTGCAACTGTAGTAGCCGCTTCTCGGTATCTCCCAAGCAGCTTATGTACACGCTGCAACTGCTCGCTCTCGCCTGCAGCTCGCGCAGCTGAGTCAACGATGCAGCCGTTTCTGGGGAGGCAAGCGCAGCAGCTAGTTCGCCTTCCACCTCCTCCTGCTGCTGCAGTGCCTGCGCTATGTCTTGGCGAACTGATGTTAAGCGTACAGGCAGGTCTTCTGCCTCGAGCAGCAGGTGCTGCCACTCTGATGCACGCGGACGAGGCACTGCCTCACGCAATCTGCAGCAGCAACAATCGCATCAGCAAAATCAGCTCTACGTAAACCCCACAGCAGTACACTATGCAAGGAAAGCTACTGAGGGGTGCAATATCGTCTACTGAAATGAGCAGCTGCTGCAGCAGCATGGGCCTGGTATGGGTGACAAGGATATATATGCCATACTTCTGGGCCTTTTGCTGCCAATCCGCTGCAATGCCACTAAGTGCCTTCAAGAACTCAAGTTCGGGGAGAGCAGTCAGCTGCCCCCACTGCTGCTGCTGCTTGCTGGCATCCGGAACCTGCTGCACCTGCGGCTGCTGGCTGTCGCCAGCCCGTGCTTCGTCAAGATCCATGGGTTTGGCAGTTTCATCTGCTGCTGATGTGCCTTCAGGTACAGCAACCTGCTTCTCGTTGGCAGCAACAGCAGCAGCCTCCACCTGCACCGCCGCCTGAGCCCTCTGGTCACGGGTCCTCGAGCGCGGAGGTTTACTGACTGCAGCAGCTTCGCGCGCCATCAGCACGGAGACAGGCGTCTGTGCGTCTATCCATTCCGAGACTGCAGCACACAGTAACACCAGCGGGAACAGAGAATATACGCATACAGCCACAGCAAAAGCCCGAGGGATTACGCAGCACTGGCAGCGCAGCATAAGGGGCAACAGGAGCACAGGTAACAGCTCAAGTCGCAGCAGCAACAGCAGCAGGGGCAAATCCCAGGGCTTACAGTGTTGAAGATCTGGGGCAGCAAGCAGCTCCTCCACGACAGTGTCTTGGGCAGGCGGCCGTAACCTCGCGACTCTCCCACGCCAAAGCGCATACAGCAGCAGCTGCTCCAATCGCGTCTCGAGGTCGGCGCAGCAACAGACAGAGTCACTCTCCAGCAGCAGCAGCGCTGCAAGACGCACCGTGTTCGCGCTACAAGGAAGCAACGACCGCAGTGCTTTCTGCAGAGGCTCCACCGTCGTGGTTGCGCCTCCTGCTGCTCCCGCTGCTGCATTGTCTGCCGTCTCTGCCTGATCGCCGCGAAGGGCATCCTTGTCACCGGCCTGCTGCTGCTGCTGCTGCTGCTGCTGCGTGGACTGCTGTGGGATAGCAAGAAGGTCCTGGGCCCTCTTCAGCCATCGCTGAGCCTTGTCTCTCAAATCTACGAGGTCACCATGAAGGCCCCAGTTCTTTATCACCAGGCCCTCTGCAACAACAGCAACGACAGAGAAGATCCCCACATACTGCCGCAACGAACACACATCCTACGCCAGAAGCAAACCCCAAGAAGCAACAGCATCAGCAACAGCAGCAGGTGCAGCAAGAACGGCGTCACGGGAGCCCAACCCCTCAACAATCGCTGCAGCTGACCATGAATGGCAATGAGCTCTACAAGCTGCTCGTAAGGAGCCCTTCGACGTTCTGGTGCTGCGTCTTTGTTGGCTGCTGTTGAAGAACCTGATGAAGACGTCGGTTCAGCTTGCTTGCGGTGAGCCTGCAACTCCAGCACATGCGTTAGGTCCTCGGGCATCAGCGTGCCCTTGCGGCGGAAGCCATCTAAAGACCCAACAGCCCATCCAACCCGCACTGCTGCAGCAGCAACAGCAGCGGCTGCTGCGCGGTCCAGCAATGTGCGGGCTCTGTCGGTAAAAGTAGCACACTGCTCCACATACACCGAAAGGGGCCGCAGCCAAGCCCCGATGTCCAGCTGCTGCTGTAGCGCCTGGCCGTCCTGCAGCACCTGGCGTGCTTCAGCCAGAGACAAACTGCCACCCTCCGTCTTCACAAACCTCTTCTCCCACTTCCGCCACCGGCCATACACAACCTGCAGCAACAGCAGCAGCAACAACAAATCCCGTACACTCCCCCTGCCACCAGGCAGCCCTCCTGATGAACTCCCAGGGCCTATCTAGCTGAAACGACGCAATGGCGCAGCTGTTGGTTAGCTGGGCAGCACCAGCACTAGCAGGCCCTTGAGCTGCCAGTCGGTCAAGGTGCATACCTCCAAGTACTTAACGGCAGGAACAATTAGTTTGAGGGCTGTGTGTCTGGCAATAAGGGCCTCGACATCCCCCGGGGTGGGGAGGACAGGCTGCTGCTTATCCCTGCGACCCTCTTCCTGTACGGGGCAGCCCTCAGCCAATGCTTGCAGCTCTTTTATTGCTGCTGCATCTGCTCCTGCTGCTGCCAGCAGCTGCAAATACTGCTGCTGCAAACAGTCCCTCGCCCACTCCCTTGCTGCAGCAACGCGACGCTGGAGCTCCCGAGATGAGGGCCCCGCCGTCTCTGCTGAGGGCTCCTGCAGCAGTGCCACCGCCAAACCAAGACGAATCGGCCGCTGCAGCAAACGATCAACGCGCTCTGCCCATGCAGCAGCAGCAACGTGACCCTTCCAGTCGTTCCACCCTGCACCACAAGCAGCAGCAGCAGCAGCAGCCAAAACATTTGTTGCAATTGTCGGGAAAGCGACGGAAGGCAACTCTCCTGCAGTGTCACTGATTCACCAAACCCTAGGTCTTACGCGTACCTGGTATGTAGACGCAAACGTCCTGGGCCTGGGCAAGGATCTGCTCACATTGCTGAAGGTCTCCCGCTGCTGCTGCTGCGCGCAACAACTCCCTCCAAGTGACAACCTGCTGCAGCTGCTGCAGCAGGAAAATGAACTCTGGAACGATAAACGGTATCTCGTGGAACCCCTCAACAAGAAGCCCCCGAAGCAACTGTATGGGGATGCGTCCCTTGCTGCCGCCGTTGCTGCTTGCTGCTGCACTTTCCGCTTTCTCCCGGCGGCTGCCGCTGCTGCTGCTGCCACTGGTGCCGTTCAAAGCAGCACAGATGCGATGAGCGAAGTGCTTGCTCTGTCTGATGCGCTGCTGTAGCTGCTGCAGCTCCTGCGAAACCCCCACAATCTGCTGCAACACCAATCCCTCCTGCAGCAGCTCTTCCGCCTCCGCCAAGTGCAGTCTGTTGCCCATGGAGACAGCCAAAATTGTCCCCTTTGCTGCTGCAACAGGATCGCGTGGCAGCGGCAGCTCCACAGTCTGCTGAAGCAGCAGACTCACAGGCTGCGTCTGTGGGGGCCCCGGCACCTCAACAGGAGGATTAAGGGGAGTCCTGCTACAGCCATCGGTTAAAGCCACAGACACACGCTGCAGCCACGACTCTACACGCTCCAGCTGTACCGACACGTTCTGCTGCAGTGACCTCAGCGTATTCACGTCGCGCAACGGAGGCGGGAAAGAGCAGCCGCTGCTGCTGCTGCTGCTGCTGTCGCCTTCGCCCGAATTGGCAATACCCTCTGCCGTTTGCTGCTGCTCCTGCTGCTGCCCTGCCTTCGAACAGAGCTGCGGCAGCAGAAGCAGATTGCCTCCCGCTGCGGAGATGGCACTCCCTGCTGACGCAGCTGCTGCTGTAACAACTGCTGCGCTGCTGCTGCCAACAGCAGCAGCTGGCACCTGGGCAAAGAAGACCGCAGCTTGACGCTGTGCCTGCAGCAGCAGCAAAGTGTCACATGCACACACCCATACACACCAGCAGCAGGTCACCAAATCTGCAACAGCAACACAAACGGCAACAACAACACTGCAACCCTTTAACGGCAGCAAGACTAGCAGCAACTTACGGTGGTTAAAGGCTCATGCAAAATGGAGAGCTGAAATGGGTTTGGTAATCGATGAGGATGCTGCTGCTGCTCATACAACAATGCATCTGCTCGCTGCTCCGCAACAGCAGAAGTGGCTCTCTTTACTGCAGCAACAGAATCAAATCCCTCCCGCCGCCACACAGACTGCTGTTGCAGCAGCCGCTGCTGCTGTTGCACAGCCTGCAGAGAGCCCGGCTCCGGCTGATGGCCCGACAGATCGGCTGCTGTAGCACGGAGCTGCGGTGGCAACATATGCTGCTGTTGTTGCTGCTGCAAACGTCGATCTGCATACATGTACTCATACACCAGTTCTTGATCCAGACAGTTAAAGTCTGTTGCCCACTCTGCGACCGTTTCCGCCATTTGCTGCTGCTCCTCATACAGCAGCCGGAAGGCTTCCTCCTGCTGCTGCTCAGTTGCTGCAGCAGCAGCACGTCCCCCCAATCCGCCTCCTTCTGCTTCAGCAGCAGCAGCAGCAGCCGCCGCTGCTGCTGCCGCCGCCGCCGCTGCTCCCCTCCCCCGACCACGAGCACCACGGGAGCCACGGACAGGTGGGCCATGTAGCATATCCTCCTCATGCTGCTGCTGCTGCAGCAGACGCCTGGCTGCTGCTGCTGCTCCCCTGCGACCTCTGCCCCTGGTAGGGGCTGTTGTTGAAGAACAGAAAACAGAAGCATCGAAAACCCTAAATGGTTGCGTTGTAAGAATGCGGACAAGGGGAACTGGCACGCGTTGCTGAAGAGAGGCTTCCGCTGCTGCTGCTGCTGCTGCTGCTGCTCCGGCTGGGGATTCCTTTACAACCTTGCTACCATCCGCTGGGGCCGTTGGAGGGTTCCCAACTCCAGCTGGTTCCGTGGTACTCTTGCTGCGGCTGTTGCTGCAGCTGCTATCTCGGCCGCCGTCGTTGCTGCTGCTACAGCTGTCCATGCTGTTGTTTAACCGAGCACAGCTCTCCTTCAAGCCAGCGTCTGAGGCAGAAGCAGCATGGACCTCTGATGCATTCTCCGCAGTTGCTGCCTCCTCCGGCAGCACCGGTTCTACTCGCTTAACCACAGCAGCCTCCTCTTTTGTTTCCTCTGGGCCTCCATCAGCAGCAAACTCAGAGGCTCCAGCAGCATCTTCTGCTGCTGTATTTGCTCCTTCTAATGCTGCCGCATCTGTTGGCTGTAACAACGCCTCTCTTCCTTCAGGGATATCAGCCTGCGTCTCCGCAACGCGCTGCTGCAGCAGAAGCAGCCTACACTCTTCAGCAGCAGCATCTTGCTGCTCCTCCTCTTCTCGATCCCGCTGCCGTTGTTGTTCCTTATCCAACGGCAAGAAAGGGTTAACCCAGCACTGATGCAGCAGCGCGTCGCGTCTAACGGACTTGCGCTGTTTGCTGCCACTTAGGGCCCTCATATACAGCCGGCCTGCTGCTGTTGTAGCTGCAGCGCAAAACCACGGACACACTAAATAATGCAGAAGCAGCAGCTGACACAGCTGTTACTGCATCATCCATGTTGCTAAGGCACGCCAGCAGTAGCAACAGCAGCGACAGGAGTAGTGCGGCAGCAGCAGAAGCAGCATTAAGAGGACCAAAGCGAGAAGTAACTTGAAGGGAGCAGCAAAAACCTAACCCGAGCAAAACTTACCTCCGTCAATACTTGTAGCATCTGCTGCGGTTGCTGCAGCTGCTGCAGCTGCTGCTGGTGCGGTGCCCGCCGGCTGCGAGGGGGAAGAACCCCCACGAGCACCTGCAGCGCTCATTGCCGTCTGAGGTGAAGGCGGAATGTGCTGTTGCTGCTCATTATGGCAATCAGACGCCAGCTGAACTGCTGCGGCTGCTGCTCCTCCTCCTCCTCCTGTCGCTGCGTGTAGAGCTCACAGCAGGGCAGCAGCCGGTGCTCGGGGGGGCTGCACTAGAGGAGTTCTTCTCTTAAGTTTGGGTTATTATGCAGCAAGGCAGCACGAAAGATAAGAGGCAGCCTTATGTGGCCCCTTACTGCTGCCTCGGGCGCCCACCAGGGCTGCTGCCGTGCTGCAGCGGCAGCAGCCTGCCTACGCTGCGCCGAAGCCTGCTGCTGCTACCGCCGCTACAAATGCTGATGTTCCCCCAGGGCAGCAGCAGGAAAGACGAGTTCGTGCTGTTGCTGCTGCAGCTGCAGCTGCAGCTGCTGCTGTAGACTACCCAACGGCTCCTGAGGCGGGCCTGCCGGGGCCAGTACTAACCGAGACTGCTGTCGTGCTGCCACGGCAAAATACTCTAGAGTACATGGGGGGCCGTGGGTAATATGTATTAAGCAAAAATTATCGGTTTAGGACGGCAGCCGCTGCTGCTGCAGCCGCTGCTGCTGCAGCGCAGCCCAGGATGCCTTGGACGGGCAGTGGCTGCTGCAGACCCGCTGCAGGTGTTGCTGCTGTCCCTTGCGCATACAGTTGCGGGATACTAGACGTTCCCTTAGAGGATCATAAAGAGAGAATTAGAGGCTCTTCATGCGTCTACAAGCCTTGCTTTGGATCTCTATGCCTAGCAGTAGCAGCAGCTGCGGCGGTTGCCACCTGCTTAACGGGCATGTGTTGCTGCTGCCTTAGCCAATGAACAACCTGCTGGTACCCCTAACTTAACGGTTAATAAAAGTGCAATCCGCTAGTGTATTTACTTAGAAAACCTTGGGGTGTATTTCCTTTGTGGGACATAGCCAGTAGCAGTAGCACATTCAACCTACGCAGCTGGTGCCTGCTCCACGTACAACAGCTGCAACAGTAGCACGAAGCCGCTCGGGATCTTTTTTGCTCATTAAGACACCAATAAGTAGTAATTTTCGCCTTGTTATTTGAAATCGGCTATTAACTTTCATTACACTCAGGCCAGCATAAATTGTACCTCATTCGCAGTAATACAAAGGATGTTGTTACAGTCGCCGCAGCTACTACTACTACTACTACCGTTGCGGCTGTAGGACTAGGGGGTTGTTATAATCCCCCCGTCCGTCCGAACAGCCCCTGAGGCCTCTGGTTTTACAATTTTTACCTCACTTTCATAACAATATATCATGACGATTATTTGGAGGAATCTACTGTTGCGGCGGCTACAGCGGCTGCTGCAGCAACCCTTCTGTGACTCACAGCCCCACGTCTCTTCGTGACCCCGAGTACGCTGGCGTCGCTTGTCTGCTGCAGCAGTTGTTTCTCACTATTATTTATTGTTTTTCTATGTTATTCGTTAATGGTTGGGTCTTAGAGGAAGCTGCATTGAGGATCGGTTGGCTGTGGCTGGTCAGCGTTTCCGTTATGATCGGGAGCCAGCAAGTGTAGCGGACGTAGCATAGTCTTTGCATTGATGGCTAATGTGTCTCAGTTGGAGGCATAAACCATTAAACGACCATATTAGACAAACTGTACGTAAGTTCAAGCTCAGTACAACTGCCTACTGTGTTTGCACACTCGTTCGCGAGAGTTTGTATGTGCTCGTACGTGGGGCTGACCTACACCTTGAGTTGCAGCAAGGTGCGTCGCAGCTTGAGGCAGGTCGTCTCCCCTCCCGAAGTTGCAGGCGCTTGAGCCGCTTCGCTCAGGATACTTGGAGACTGGGGAAGGAGGTCAGTTGCACTTAAGAGGCTGTCACCGTAAGTACTTTCGCTTCCCTGCTCTCAGTAGACACTCGATAAGATCTTAGATTCGCCTTACATAGAGTCGTCGACCCTAGCAGGAGGCAGTCGATAGCTGCAAAAACAATCCAAATATTTGGGGTTTGAGTTCATCTAAAGCAGCTGACCTCTCAGTCTTCAGGTGTCCTCTGCAGAGCCGGTTGTTCATTCGCAGGGGAGGACTTTGAATATTTGTAGCAGTGCTTGCTGCAGATCTTCCTCCAGTGGAATGCTTAGTGCAAGCATACATGGAATCCAGACCAATCGGTGGAGAAACAACGTAGAGAACTGTTATGCGCTCCTTTGGGCCTAAGTAGCCACCGTTGCTCAAGTACACATATATGTATATGCCAGATTCAGAGAGATAATATGCAGCATACGGATCCAACTGCCCTGCTGAACACAACACTACCCCTTGTAACTGGATCTCGAAGTGAAGGTGGGTGCAGAGAAAATGTTTAATACTAGTGCACTCGAAAATTGACGTAATTCCTGAATATCCAATCAAATATCCCACACGGTAGGAATGTTGGCGGAGGCGGCGAGATACCCGTGGGCTTGGTATGGGTGTAGATCATAACGAATAAATAATGCTTGTCTGGGAGAACGCAGTTCACAAACTAAGAGGGCCTCTAACAGTGAGAGCAAGTTACATGACGATTTCGCTTAACTGTACGCTTTTCTGAGTACACACACATATGTAGTCGACATCGTTGCGTAGAGCAGGATGCGTATATTTTTCTGCAGAATAAAATCCGGCCACCGATTCATACGCCCACTAGAACATTCGTTATCCTAGCCAATCAATGCAATATTGCCACTTTATGCAAACCCTGCGCAGCGCTACACGCATCTCCAAAGCATCACTCATGCTCAGTTGCGTCTAAGGCCTCACTCGCACCCAGTTCCCTATTATAATGACGTTGTTGCCACTTTGTGCGGAAATACTGATGCCGGTTATGTCCCTCCAAACCCGGAGCCTTTTGAGCTCGAGGACAGGAGGCGCGCGAGTGTGTTGGGCTCATCTGTCGTTGCCCACTCAAAGGCAACAAAGCCTGCAGGCAGGCATATAGCAGATTTTGTGACTAGAATTCACACCACCTTCTAGCGTAGATGGAACAATTATAAGGCCTAGTAGAATGTAAGCTCATTTAGATGCACCTGTTGGCACCGTTACCTTTACGATACCAACGTTGGGCCTAGTAGTACCGACATGCTGACAGCTCGGACACAGCGGCGGTTAGAGCAAATACCGTCACTGCTGAAACAGAGGGCATACGGGAACAAAGACAAGTGTTAGTTGGCAAACAAAGGACTTATCACGGTTTTTTATGAACCCGGGAACAATTTAGGACAATGTCAGCAACAGGGAGCCCAATCGGAATGGGTAAGCAACCCATGCGGGCAACCTTCCCCTGAGGCAGGTGTGGAAGTGCGCTCTGCAGTGTCTGTTGATTTTGGGGTCCCTAAAAATAGGGATATATTGTTTTAGCGAAGTTCGTTGTGGCCTTTTTGTGTTCGATTGAATGCCGCTCCATGAAGCCACTCCTCAAGCTGCCAACAAACCTTAGACGCCTCCCCATAATGCTGATATTGGGGAACCCTCCTGGCACCGGGAAGTGGCCGATGTTTGGTATGGTCTACCTCTATTGCGACTAAACTTGAACACGTAATTAAACGAGTACTGTTGTTGATCCATCCACGCCAGCATAAAAGGTGTGGCAGCCCTTTTTAGTGGTAATAAAACCGTTATGAATTTCGTTCGGATTTCGCCGAGATCAGCTCAGCTGTTTGTAGATGCAGCAGCGTTCCACGTCTAGTAGTGTTCCGCTGCACTTTGTCTTAACACTTAGGATAATACTCTTGTGCTGCCACGCACATATTTTGTACTAGGCGGCACAATAAATTCGCGTGCTTAAGTCTCACAAAGTGTACAGTTGAGGGGAATTGAGTACGATGGGCCCCAACCAAAAACCGGAGGACAACGACCAGTTTTATGCACTGACACCACAGTGGATCCCGCAATGAGTATCTAGCAGACTACCCCATAAAACGAATACAACGTAATGTAATATTAGTGCTAAAACAGGTCACTTGGGCAAGAGATAGGGCAAATCTCCACGACTGCACAACTGCCTATAAGGGCTAACCTCGTAGCCGAGACACTGATCAACTGCAAGGTGTCAGGAACAGGACAAACTGTTTCTTCTCCTTCTTCTTATATAAAGGGACCCGGGACAGTTGAGGAACCATGCAGGTATAGAGCAGGGCTAGGCTCACTACATCCTAGGCGCAAGTAGGGCCTGAGCACCCGACCCATTGTCAGTAAAACTCCCCAGGGCCCCGCCACTTTGCGCAAACGATTTAAACGAAACGAGACCTGGTCAAGCCATTGGCATTGTAGAAGCTTCCACTGGGGTTATTAAAGTTCGCCATATAGTCTATAGTCTATAGTGGATCGCTCGTCGTCAACTGTTGAGCTGGGCAAGTATTGCATCCGTATGCGTGCCTTATTTGTAAGATGAAGTCCACTTTGAGAAACGATGGGGACTCTACCAAGTTGGTACATCTTTGGAATCTTCCTTCAGTCGTGCCTACACTTGCGGAGGCAATTCCCAAACCGAACCAGGATGCCAGCAGCAGTACGCTGAATACGCTGTGCCAAACCGGAAACGACTACACTAACTACGCCCATCTGTTATTCATCAATCAGCGCTTATGTTGCTCATGTATACCCCTCATTCACGGTTACTTGTGAGTCCTCATTATTGATGTCTAAGGAAGTCTACGCATACGCACGCTAGCGATCAACAGCTTACAGCTCCCTGAGTAGCCCGTTTTATGTGTAGGCAAGAAACGCAGGCACAACAAATGCTACTTGAAGAGTTGGTCATTGATCGTTCGCTCAAGTCACGTAGCCATCGCCGCCATTAACATGCGCTTCGCTGTTTCCAACCAACCCAGAACCCCGTAGAGGCAATCCACTCCATTTTAGATATGATGACAATTGGTTGTCCCACAGGCTATTCTTGGGAGACTTCGGGTGTCTCAATGCGCTTTTTGCTGCCACCCAGAGACACAAATATGCCAAAATAAGCAAACTCAACTACGAAGTGCAAACTCGTGCTCTTAGGTCCTCAGATATCTACGTAAGCCTCTAAACAGTTATTGCTGCGGCACAGTCCCTAATCTTCAAAATGTCATCAAACGTTCCTGGTTACGCCCATTTACTCACCTTCGACAGAGTTTGGCTCACAGTGGAAAACAAGTTTCCCCCTCCACAGCACGCATAGCGTCACATTCCATGCCGCACCAGGTGTGGGGTTTGGAGCTTGCAAATTCCAAACTACTAATAACCCACAATAAGAGCGATTCCCCCCAAAAGAGCAACATCAGAGCAGTAGCAAGGTAGTTCTCTTCAGTTCAAACAATTCCTAGTTAGAGCCTCAATCCCTTGATGCTGCTACCAGGAAGCCACATGTCACTCCATGTGAGGGAAGTGACTTGGCTTCCTCATCAGCGGCAAGAGAACCCTTAGAACGTTTCGTCCCCCACGTCCTTGATAGCAAGCAGGAGGTAAATCTCAACGACGATAAACCCAAGTGCCAAAATACCCCAAAGAGACCCGCAAAGTCGGCTACTGCAGTGCGTCATCGACGCACACTTGTAGGCGTCGCTATCTGGCTCTTTTCTTCGTATTGTATCATCCATGATGTCAAGGACACTGTACACGTTGTTCATAGCTCCTATTGCCAGCATTGCTACTCGCAGCGGCCAAACTGTGCGGTAGACTTCCGTGAAAACCCATACAATGATTATTTCAACAATAAACACCACGCACACTATGCCTACTGTCCAGTTCCTCGCGAAAAATAACAGGACAACGAGCATCATGAAACACAGGAGACCAGCGCCCACTCGCAGGGTCCAAATGTTGATACTTGCAAGAAGCGTGAAAACGAAGCCCCAAAAGCAGCTCCCAATATATCCAGCAGGCAGGATGATCCACCGAATCCCTCCTACAGTGCGCGTCACTCCCCCTTCATTTGTGTGGACTTCTGCATGCAAGCAAAGAAAAGATGAAAAAAAAGAAAACAAGGCCATATCACAAAGATAATTGTTGTGTTGCCCTTTTTCGTACACCAACATCACACATTCGATTCACTAGTGCAGGTTACTGACGCTCTGTAAAGTGACTGCACTGATTGTGTCTCTCACATACCTGCCTGGCTACTGAGGAGAGTTGCTAAAATCACAATCGCAAAGTGCTGAAACACAAAAAATGTGGTGGCTCACCGATCCCCTTTACTTTGCCTCCTGTGATCCACGCAGCGGAGGCATGGGAGAACTCGTGGAGGAATGTGGTGAGCAATTTAAACTGGAGCAGAATGTGTTTGCCGCAAATCCTACAATGCCATAGTGCTAAAGCCACAATCGCCCAGCCTCCAATCACCGACAAGGTTATCCACTGGCCCCGTGAGCAACATGATTGAAGGCTCCAGTCAGCAGTCAGCATCTCGTTGGAATCTCTTGGTTTGTGCGCGAAAGGATCTCACAGACGTTTAGACAACTGCATGCAGCAACAGCCCCGAGTTCCTTGTCGAAGCCTACAAGTTAGCATGCGTCATCGGTAAAAAAACAAAAAAAAAGAAAAAAAAAAGACAATTTCTTCTAATTGTCAAGCAACACAGTGCATTTTGAATATGATCTGCGATATTTGTCAGCGGGTCGCTTTGTTTATCTTTAATTAGTCAGATGACCACCAATCTAGGAGTCGAGTCCTGCGCGGATCACCTGTCACAGACCATCCATCACATAGACATAGACCATCCAAACCATCCATACATACACCGGTCTCGCACCTATCCGCACCCCCTTTGCACTCCCGACGCACCGTTGCTTACGACCCCCCTGTTAGTTCGACTTCGCACTGCAACAATTCCACTTGTCTGTGTCTAACTATTCAATTCGTCAGTTGTCGGTGGTGCTCGAACCCCGGTCAACAGCCTGCGTGTTGATAGACACGGAAGCACGATACTTTCTTCTCCAGACCGGTGGGGGGGAGCCC